ACTCTCTCTTACACACTTACCATAACCACATGCAGACGCCTTTATCAATTTGTACTTTCACTTTCTTTATTTCACACAAAATACATTATTGTTTTAAGAAAATAGAAAAATACAAGTATTTTATGTTTAAGATAAACTAATTAATAAATGCATAGACATTTATTTATGTGTATCTTTTAGCCATATGACTAATACATGACCTCATTTAATTTGGTGGAATGCGAAGAGGAATATTCCTACATTACGTTTAATGAAGCAGCTGAACAACACAAGCAAATTAAGCTCTTATAAATTGTATATATAGAGTGTGCATGAATAATTGTAGATAAAAATTGAACTCTGAGATGCAGATAACACGTGAAGCCATGAGGGATGGTCAGTCGCTCGGTAGCAAAAAATTCAGAAGAAGAGGCACATTCTATCACTAATAATTTAATAACTTTGGATTCTTATGATGCAGCCAGCAATTACTTGGTAAAAAAAAAAAGAGGGTTATTTTAAGGCAGCTTCACTCATTTTAATGTCTTCTCGTTAGTTGATGCTCTCTGTACGGGGACAGCTGACACTTAGCCCCACCATTAGTGTTTTCACAATGCCAATGCCAATGCAAATACAAAACACCTACACTTACATATTGATATTTGAATAGATGCCTGCACGGATAAGCACTCTTGCATTATATATCAGACATCAGTCATTTCTTGTTTTATTAGTATTACGTATCTCTTTTATTTCCCACTCTCTCTCTCTCCTTTATTTATTGTTTCAGGAGCTGAAGGCTTTTGCCAATTTAATAAACCACACCACACTCTGTTCTCACCTTCTTCTTTACTTGTCGCTTTAACCAAAGCAATTTCTACCTCTCAATGGGAAAGAAAAAGGGAGGTACTTCATGGTTGAGTGCTGTTAAGAGGGCTTTCAGGTCACCAACTAAAGATAACAGCTGCGACAAAAAGGCAAAAATAGAGCATGAACTAGACGAAGATGAAGAAAAGGTAATGTATACTTATATATATTTGTCCTGAACTAGAATCACATTGTTTTGTATAATACAAAATCAAATTTTTTTCACTACTATAGAGAATCTATCTCCACCATTATGATCTTGAGTAATGAATATTTTCTACCCAACTATATAGAATCTTTAATTGGTGTTACTTGTACAGAAAAGAGAGAAGAGAAGGTGGTTATTCAGAAAACAGTCACAAAATGAAGGGAAAGTAATTGTTGATCCAAAGCATGCAACAGCAGCAGCAGCTGTGGCCACAGCTCAAGCAGCAGTTGAGATCATAAGGTTGACACGATCTTCCAATAATCCGTCTTCTAACAGGCAACACAATGCTGCTGTACTCATCCAAACAGCATTCAGAGGCTATCTGGTAACCCAATCTTATGCCAATTACTTATCAATTCTTCTTTGAGCTTTTGACCATTTAATTAGCTAGTGTTACTGACAAGATTGTTAAGATACAAGTTACGTAGAAAAATTACTATTTTAACTCCATCACTAGATTTTGACTTGTGCTAAAGAAAATAAAACCAGAGAAAGCTGTTTTCGGCTATATATACTGCTCTTAAAATGCTATGCTGCTGCACCTGTGTCGGTTTGCACTACTTTTTGGATGATCCATTTTTGAAGAGTCTGAGCAATACGGGTTTTGTGATATTTAACTTCAGTTTCATTTCTATAAAATGGACAATGTTTTGGGACAAGTAAAAAAACTAAGTAGTAATAGCAATTTAGAAAGAAGAAAGTAGTGAGTTAGCACTTGCCACTAGATAGCTTTAGATTTGGGACCATTTTCAATTGATCACAAGTCTTGCATTGGAGTGTTAAATATTTACAGATAGCTGTCATGTGAAGCAGTTGATTTATTGTTATTGCAGGCAAGGAGGGCACTAATTGCATTGAAGGGGATAGTGAAGCTTCAAGCATTAATAAGGGGTCAAAATGTACGGAAGCAAGCTAAGATGACACTGAAATGTATGCAAGCTCTGCTGAGAGTGCAGGCTCGGGTTCGTGAACAACGTGCTCGCCTTTCACATGATGGAGGCCGCAGGTCCATGTTTGCTGAAACAACCAATTTATGGGACTCTAAATATCTCCGTGACATCCGAGATAGGAAGTCCAGAGTGAGTTCTACTTACCGCGCCTTAGTTACTGTGTGATAAACAGCACTCAGTAGCATCTCTTTGTCTCTAACACTCGTAATTTTTTGTAGTCCGTGCAGTCTAGAGATGGAAGCTCAATTGCAGACGATTGGAGGGATTGTCCGAGATCACTTCTAGAGCTGGAATCAATGTTACAAGCCAGAAAAGAAGCCTCCTTCAAACGGGAAAAATCCCTTGCTCATGCTTTTACTCAACAGGTTCAACTTTAATTTCTGTATCCCTTTAATTAATTCTATTTACATCCTTTCATGAACTGAAATACTGTCTTTTACACATTCCAAAATCAAGGAATTGGATGAGATGGATGTTTGTAGTGAAGAAAGAAATGAAAGGGAACTAGAAGAGACAGCGAATTGGCTGGATGAGTGGATGTCATCAAAGCAATGGAACACCAGCAACAGAGGTTCATTTGACAGAAGAGACTCTATAAAGACTGTTGAGATGGACACGGCTAAGCCATATTCTAACATGGTTCCAAATGCTCGAAGATCACAACACTCGAGCCCACTTCACAGACAGGCTAGTAGTCCTCATTATACTGCTAATTCTCCCCATCACCAGAGATCATCACATTACAATTACTCCGCAATTCAACCACCAGCCACCCCACCCCCTTGTCAACCAAAACCTCTTCAAATGCGCCCAACAAGCCCACGTAAAAGCCAATCAACTGCAAACACTCCATGCCTACGCTCTACGAGCCGTTCAAACAGTATAATGTCCCGGTATAGCACGTCAGGAAATGATGCATCAGTTCCTAACTATATGGCTGCCACTGAGTCTGCAAAAGCTCGGATTCGTTCACAAAGCACACCTAAACAAAGGCCTTCCACACCAGAAAGAGAAAGAGTTGGATCGGTGAAAAAACGCCTCTCTTACCCTATTCCTGAGCCATACTCGCTAAACGCTGCGTATGGCTACAGTCAGAACTTGAGAAGTCCTAGCTTCAAAAGTCTTCAAGCTGCCTATGTTGGGATGGAACAACAATCATGTTACACCGACAGCCTTGGTGGAGAAATTTCTCCTTGTTCAACCACAGATTTAAGGAGATGGTTAAGATGAGTAGTAATCAATTGAATAAAGATTACAGGAACCAAGCCATCTTTTGTGTCCTATTTTTCTTTAATTTTAGCAAGGTGCTAGGTGAATGCTAGTCATAAATGATGTGTATTTCTTTGTTCATTTTCTCTAATGGTTAATTACCCTTCAGCTCATTCATTATGCACCTATCAATCACATTTTCAAATCCAAACTAATAAGTAGAATATATAAAAACAGAGGGATCTAGCCTTCAGCATCAGGTGATCGAGGCAATATTTTTCTTTACCGGTGGGTGAATGCCACCAATGAAGGAGAGAATAAAATTAGTAGGAAGAAACAATGTTTAATGCGAGGGAACAATTAAAATCTGTTGTAAATTAGATTCAGTTACTAGAGACATAATTGAACTACATGACTGTAGAAAGGGACAACTAATGTCCTCAGATGTTGACATATTTAGTGAGATACTCTTCCTGCAATTAAATGATGGACCATTTTCAACCTGCACTAATCGTACCAAAAATAAATCAGAGGGGTTCACCTTCACCATGTGCCACAGGAATCCTCTCCATCACACTTATCATTTCAGTGATGCCCAAAGTTAGGCCTCCCATCACCTACCTATTCGAGGTTAAAGCCAGCCCAATAAACTCCTTTGGGCTTTGAACGTGTGCCAATTGTACCCACTACTCAGTTTTTACATTACTCCACTATTCAAGTCAACCACTAGTATAGTATGTCTTCATCAAAAGCTTTGCTCGGTGTGTGTTGGTTAATAGAAATTCCGTGACATTAGTTATTGTATTGTAAATCATCTATTTAATTTGGACTAACAATGGAATATATGAAATTAAGGTACCAGTACCGTATCATCGAATAGGGAGAAGAGAAATGAAATGACTTAAGCTATAAATAAAATGAGTATGAAATATCAAAGTTGAAATTGCTTTGATGCGTAAGACGTAAAGGCAGCATTGGGATACGCAGCGTAAGACATAGCGGAGCGGCATACTCAATACAACATTTTGATAAGTATGAACCTCTATTGGTGGAATTTGGGTTGTGTTTAAAACTTTTAATAACAAAAAGATTTGCCAAAGTTGGAAATGCGATGCGATCACAAAACATAAGTTATCAATCAAAACTACACTTGTCAGGCCAATAAGCTACTCAATTTAAACTCTTTTTTCCAGCTATATTCTCCATAACACAAGTTGAAGTTGTAATTCAAACTCTTTTTTTTTTCGAAATAAAGTTGTACAATTCATCCAAAAAACTGTTACAACCCAACTACTAATATATTAGGTCCAAATAAGCTATTATGGAAGCCCAAAGCTACGTTTTAAATATAAAAACTTATGCCTCAACTCATGTAAAATATTCATGGGTAGTCACTAGCCACAAATACACAGAGCAATAACTCGGGGATGGATTGCTGCCTTCATCTTAACAAATGAATGCATTCAATTTCCTGTTAAAAGGATTGTGACAACTCATTATTGTCATTTTCATGAAAAAACAGGAATAGTCAGTCAGTTTAAGAATGTACAATAACAATAACGCATGATCAATAGATACGTAGTCATGCCAAAATTCTCTAGAGTAGATTGGGTTCAAGAATATTGGACATAACCGCTCTGAGATTGTGTATATATATGGAGAAGCAGCAATAGTAGCTAACGAACAGCAATGCATACCACAGTGAAAGAAACATAAAACTGAAATTGAACAAAAGATGGAACTGTCAAGATGGACTTCACCATTTTGCAAGCTGCAAGATTGCATGATCAACCGATGAAGTCAGGTCCGTTCTCGCAGGAACCAAAGCTGCAGCTGCTGGTAGCAGTGCTATTGCTATAGCCATGAGGTGAAGGTAAACTGGAGGCATTTCCAAGACACAATGCTTCACCCAAAGGCCCTCCCGGAGCTGTTGAACTCATCCAAGAAACAGGGTTAAGCCACTGGGATCTCAAAACATCATCGCCACTTCTCTCAGAATCCAACATCCCAATGCTTACTTGTGCATGTTCGTTATCATCATCCATTCCCCGATTCCAACCAGACATGGAAAGTGTTAGCGAAGTAAAAGAGCCATTGTTGCTAACACCATCACTAAGTCCGTCTTTTGGCCAAGCATTCCTAGTTGTTCCTCTGCCAATTATCGAGTTGTTACCCTGTTCATTCTTTAATTGACTTCCCAATGCCTGGTCACTACTGCTATTACACATGTACTGATTAAAGTTCATTGGATATACTTTTGGCGCGTCTTGCACTTGAAATGCAGGTGAATTTCTTCTGTTTTGGTCATTGTTGAATCCCATTCCAGAAGATGAGTGCATGAGTTGCTGGTTACAAGTATTAACGACAGGGATGGTTCTACTTGTGTCTCCTCTCCCTAACCACTCAATACACCTTTCATAAAAGTAGAGAAAACCAATGAATTCGACATTTATTTTCATAGGAACAAAAAGGCAATAAAAGACTAGTAGACCCCCTCCTCAAGATAAGAAGAAAAAGTTAACAATATTTACATGGAAGATGAAGCTTGAAATTACCCACCTGGGGCTGGTTTGGTCACCGGAAGGAGCAGAGAGCTGCACAGTCGGAAACTGAAAAGAGTGGTTGTTGTTGTTAGATTTGGGAGTGGGAGGGTGCCGATTGGTGTGAATTTCCACAGGCTTTCTTGAACGGGGTTTGCTTTTGTGGGCGTGTCGCTCACAATATTTCTGATCCGGAGCTACATCTCTTGAGCATCTCCATTTCTTCCCGTCTGTTCTCTTACACCTCCATGGCTCTGGATCCGACCCACTTGAGAACTTCAAATCCAAACCCGTTGCTAAACACACATAACCAACAAAATTTAGATATCAAAAAAACAAAAAACAAAAAAAAAAAAGACTAAAACAAACTCAAAAGGGAATATTTACTGTTAGATTGAGCTGGAGATGGGTTAGTAGGGAGTAGGTGGGGAGGAACAGGCATAGATGCCATTATGTACTTGCATATTATGAACTGTCTTTGAAACTCCTGCAGCTGGGAGGCTGTAAAAGGAGCGAGGCCCATGCTTCCTCCTGCAAAACAAAAAACACTTGTGCAACTAACTCATCAAAAATGAAAAGAAAAACAGAGGAATAAAGTTAAAAGGTTGGGGAACCGTACTAGCACAAGGTCTTGACGAAAGTGCACCCCCTGAGCTCACAACATAGCTCCCCACAAAATTTCCGGGTCCACTACCGCCATCATCACCAGTCTCTTTCTCATAAGGAGAAAAAAAGTGGGGATGAGAAGAAGGGGCCATGAACATGGTCCTTTTATAAGGGTACGAAGCTTCACTAGTCTTCATCTTCAAATCCAGAAGCTCAGTGTTTTCTCCGTTCCCCATATTAGCCCCAATTCCAAACAACAAAATTTACTCCAAAATGTGTAAAGGCTAGAGCCAAAGCTGAAAAACTACTACTATTAAGTATTTTGTTTCATATATATGTCCAGATTACAGAGGCGGTTCAAGATTGGCCCGCCATTTCATATATTTTACAGATATTTGCTTCCTATACTTACAACATTCTAACCCCGTTACGGGACAATTTTAAGTAGGGTCCCCAAATGACGTCAAAATAATACTCCTAGTGAGTAACATTTTTCTTCGTGTCTTATCATTTGTATAGTCTATCAATATTGTGATGGTTAGATTATCACAATATTTAATATAATAACCGTAATTTAAATTAGAGTAGTCTTTTATTGAAAGAGGGTTAGACGTAGGCTATGGACCTTGTGCGCAAGTGGAGGTTTCTAATTCCATAACAAGAATTTTAGTTGCAAAAAGAAAATCACATGAAACAGATTATCAATTTGGAAGTGGCCTACATTATTCCTATCTCGCAAGACAACTACATACTGTTTACGAGGCAATTTTTAATAGTGCCTTGTACAGTTTTAAAGTAGAGAATTAAAGACATTCCATCTGTCGTAAAATATTTGTACCTTTTTACTATTTCCAATTTTTTTATCAAATAAATATTGACCAGCTCCATCCTAATTGTTGAAAGTTTAATAGGAAACTTACCTAAATTTCACTAGCTTAGAAATTAATTACTTAGATACACATTAGTTGTTAGTTTGTAATACTCATTATAGATCTTAATATATCTATTGTTATTCTCATATTTAGACAAATCTTACTTGCTTCTTCACTATTTTAGTGTATCAAATAGACATATTTGAATTGAAATTTAATACAAATTATTAATTAACGAGACAAAAGTCAATGCAATTTTGAGATATGTGTAAACCGTGCAATTGATTGACCAGAGAGTGGAAGGGTTAAAAAAGAATAGATTAGACATGAAAGAGGGAGGAAATTAGTGTAAAGTACAAGTAGTAAAAGAGTCAACGGGGAAAAAGAGTAAAATAAAGAGAGTAGTTGGAGGGAAAGGAAGTAGGCGTCGGCGTGGTTTGATTCATTGAGGGTGACGGTGACAACAAATATATATTATTTATTCTTTTCGTTCATTTTTAATTGTTATATTACATTTTTAAAGTTAAATTAAATTATATTTTTTAAAAATAAATATTTAAAAACTAGATAAAAAATACTATAAATTGTAATCTTTTACATATCAATATATCAAAAAATTTATAGAATCATGACAATTAAAAATAAACAACGCACAGTATAATCAATGGTATGCTTTTTCTTATAGTATTGGGAAACGTAATTTTTGAGGTCCACTGACCTCTTAGATGAGGTGGGGACCAACATATGTCCACCTCAACAGTTTGTATTATTGCATTTTGAGTCCCATCTTTTTTGAGTTATTGCATTTCATCTCATCCTCTTCCTCTTGCAATGGTCCAAAGAGTCCATCTAATGATTAAAATGTCATAATTCAGATTGCGTTTGAATTGTACTACAGTATTAGTTTTCTCTGATATGTTGTCTCTAATTAATTCTTTCTCACGATGTCGATTAATCGAATCTGTATTATAGTATTCGAAATCGCATGCCATTACTGGTAATGGTACAATCCTTATGAAATAAGAAAAAAAAGTAGTTTTAAGTGGATACAAAAATACAAACTTAGGTAAAAGACAAACAGAAAACAAAACGAATACGCATGGTACTGGTGTTGCACTTGTAAACGAAAATGGTAATTATAAAATCATATATAGGTAAATAGGGTAATGCCATACCAAGTGGATGTTAAGTTTGATTACTTATTTAACATCTCCAATGTAATCTCTTCAACCATTTATCATATATGCTAATATCTTCAAATTTTTAACTCTTTTTTTCTTTCTAACGATGTTGTTGTTGAGCATTCTTGGTTGATTAGGCCACCTTGTGTTGTGATCTGCTGGTTTTTCACTTTACAATTTCGTATTAATTTTTCTTCCACTTGATTTTGCGTTGTTCAATTTTAATTTCTTGAATAAATGCCATCCAATTTGATTTGATTGGATAATTTTCATTTGAATGACCAAAAAAGAATAACTATTATGATAAAAATGAGAAGCGGTATGTAAAATCTTTTAAATACTTTTTCAGATTCAATTCAGGTGATTGAATTAATGGACACTAGTCACACTACCGATAAGATGGCAATATATATTTAATGAGACAGTCAAAACAAGTCAACAAAAATAAATTTGTACATCTGATATCAATAATCAAAATGAAATATAGATACATATTATTTTAATGTTGGTTGATTTTTTACTGATCATGTACCAAGAATGAAATGTATTATACATCAACATAATGTATAGTATTAAATAATTCAATTTTTTTCAATTAAATACCAAATAAAGTAGAAAATGATAATAAAAATTCGGAATGAAGTTAGATTGTCATTATATTAGATTATCAGTGATAATTTAGCTTGTGTTATGATTTATTTGCTGTTTATTAGGATAGGCACTCGACTTGCAAATATTATTAGGAAAATTACTTATATACACACATTTACTTACCTTAGTATCAATTTATCTCTACCTTTTTTTAAAATTTCAAAAATCCCTTAATTTCTCCAATTCATAAAATTTTCGGATACATAAATATTTCACTCCTATTTTCAACCTATATCCACGTTTCCCACTCCCCATTTCACTCCTCCATTTTATCCATAAATTCTCTCCACTTCTTTAGCAGTTACAAATATCAAATTCATTTTGATTTTCATTAAGTGTCTCTCAAGTTTATCAATTAATCTATTTTTGAATTTCAAATCTTTTCTATTTCCAATTAATGATTTCAAATTATTCAAGAGATAGATTTCTTTCTATCACTTCAATTTTTGATTTCTTTTTTTTTTTTTTTTTCATATAAAAAAATAAAAATAAAATTACATCCGCCCCCTACCCTCATTGAAATCTTATTGAACCTTTGTAATTTTAGTTAATCATATTGTCGTTGAAATTTTTTCTTGAAAAATATTTATTTTCTTTTAATGTTTCTACTATTGAAAAAGGTCCAAAAAAGAGAAAAAAAAATTTGGATCTGCCATTGCACAACCATCACTATCAAAGATACAGATTTTTAATGTATCTCGTTTATTTTGAGTCTTAAATTAGTCTTTGTTAGTGCTATCATTGATCTGATACATCACTGCTACAATAACCTTTGTTTTATGCAATGTATAATGTTCATATTTAAAGTATTGATACATAACTCTAATATTGTTGAATCTTTGATTAATATTTATCATGTTCAATATAAATGTACTTGATACATAAATTTCGTGTTATTTATCACACACACAAAAAAGAAGCTATTTTGGAACAATTACATGTATAATGTATTTTTTAAAATTTTAAAATATAATATTTCTCAAACAAAATAAGATACATAAATAATGTAGCATACACTAATTTTTTAGTTATGATACGTAAATTCAAATTTATACTAAACGTATCTGATACATAACAATTACCAAACAATAATGTATTGATCTCAAACTTAAATCTTATGGACAACACTTTCTTATTTAATGTATATAGTAGAAATACAACAATTATCAATTTAAATTGAAAGGAACTTCATGATCTCAAACAAAATAAGATACATAAATAATAATGTATCATGCACTGTTTTTTTAGTTATGATACGTAAATTCGAATTTATACTAAATGTATATGATACATAACAATTACCAAATAATAATGTATCGATCTCAAACCTAAATATTATGGGCAACACTTTCTTATTTAATGTATCTAGTAGAAATACAACACTTATCAATTTAAATTGAAAGGATTTTCATGATGTATCTTCTCAAAATTTTCGATAATTTTGAATCAAAATTGAAAGAATCTTCAATGAACTAGGAGAATAATTTTGAAACTCAAAATTTTCAACAATTTTGAATCAAAACGGAAAGGATCTTCAATGACCTGGAGAAGAATTTTGAATCTCAAAATTTTCGACAATCTTGAATCAAAATCGAAAGGATATTCGATGAACTTGAAGATTCACAAAAGAAATTGTTTGTCCAACAACAATTCCATCACTTTTATATCCTTCATAACTCACCTCGCTTATCCAAAATTTCGACAAAAGTTTTTATGAAACAGAGAAAACGATGAACAAGAAGAAGAAATTTAATTTTTGAATTTTTTGGTTTGTTACACTAAAGGATTTTGAATTCTTGACAATAATCTGGAATGGAATAGCATAATTTATGGGATCTTAATTTGATTTTCAGTTTTTTTTCCCCCTTAATTAGTGCAACAAAGGATACTATGAGATCTTAATTTGATTTTTAAGCTTTTTTTTCCCTTAATAAGTGCAACAGATTGATACATAATGTATCAACAATAATGTATCCGGATCCTTAATTATGTATTCGAAATGCCTAAAAAATATGGGATTTATGTAATTACAAAAGTAATAGGGATAAAAGGTTATTTAAGTTTTACACTATTGTATTTATGTAAGTATATGACAAAGGTTGGAGTAGTTGGCAGAATATGAGCCCAAATATAAAAGGCCCAAACACATAAGTTTAGGAGACCCGGCCCAATAAGGATCAAATTAGTTTGAGTTCATAATTGTAGGTTATTTATTTTAGAGTGTAAATATAAATACTGAAAACATATTTTGGTCCCAAGAGAAGTGTAGGTCTTAATTCCAAAAATTGCACCAACTAAAACAATAGTGCTGGTAATGATGCTTGTGGGTGGGGAGCGCTTCTTGCTTTTGCTTTTGTTTATTTAATGATGAAACTAACAATGGCTTATCTGGAATGTCCCAACTTTCCTCCTATAATAATATTATGAATGACGATTCAAGTCGTATTGTTTGTTTTTATCCATTACATCTCTTGGGAAGGTAAATTATGAGCCATTTTCAGTTGTAAATATATGTATGAATCATTAGTTCCAATAATTGTAGTATGATACAAACTCGGATTTTCATCAAATCCCTATCCATGTAACCATAATCATACCATTTCCAAGTGAATTAGATCATAAAAGACAACCTAGAGAAATTATACATTTACAAATTACAAACTCACAAAAACAAAATAGATTCTCTGCCTGCCTAACAGAAAATTCAATCAACGGTTAAACAAAGAAAGAAAATGGCACTACAAATTAACTTTATGGTATTACCATTCAATTGGATGAGTAATAGCATCTTTGGATGAACCATAGAGAATAACAATCCAAAGGGTAAAAACTTTATTATGAGGTTGTTAGAAGAACATTGGATCGGATAGGACACTTTTGTTTCAGTAATATCCTAAGTTGAGCCTTTTGGCACTCCAACTTCGTACCCCAATGTCTGCTTTTGGAACTAATAGCTCTGACAACCTTTGGGAATTCGACAAATCCTTTGATCCCTCGTTTGATGTGTGGATTTTCAGCTTCTTGTGAATGGTTTCTTCGATGAATCGTCACTTGGTACTGATGAAAATTAGAACCACTAATAGACTTGTGATCAGGCCTACTTGTTCCTGTTTCATCAGCGTTATAGTTGTTCTTTGCATTGGATTGCTCTGTTTGTAACATTTTCTTGGTTGCTTCCAATTCCAACAACTTGTCTTCCAATAAATATTTAGCCTCTGTTAGCTTCATTTGAACTCTTTCCTCCCTCATAACCTCAGCCACCCGCATCATTTTCCTCTCCTCTTCCATATCTTTTCTCAACCGATTCATCTCTGCTTTATCCGACGATATATGATTGGCAAGTTCTTCGCATACTCGTTCCAACGCTTCTCTCCCTTTTTTCTCTTCAGAGAGCTCTCTAGCAATCTTCTTATTCATCCACTCCAACTTCTTACGTGCCTTGCGCTCATGTTCTACTTTGGCCTTCAATTCAGCGACTTGGGCTCGAGCAATCTCAAGCTCAGAGTCCATAAAGGGCCTGATAAAGGTGAGATCCCAAAAGGATGATGCAATTTTCCTAGCAGATATTGGGAGATTGAGTCGATGAATTTGCTTATTATTATTGTTGTTGTGCTGAATTCGGAGAGGAGTGTCAGGATTTTGTGAATTATAGAAAGGGTTTTCGTATAGTTTCCAGGTTGGACATGTAGAAGTAGGGATAATGTGATCATCTGAGATACCAATAGACTTATTTCTGAGATTTTCTTGGCTTCTGATCATCATCATCATCATCCTCTTGATGACAAGGTCGGGGAGTTTCTTGCTTTTATAATAAACACCTTTGCTGCTTGCTTTTCTAATCAACTTTCTTGCTTTTGCTTTTAAGAAAGAAAAAAAAATAGGAGTAGGGCCATGATGTTCTATCTTCTTGTCCTTCCAGCTACTCTAAATTTCAAAAAGTGGAAAAAGATGTTCAACCTCACATGTACCTCTACTATTTAATAAGAGGTGCCCAACTCCCTCCCCCTCCTCCATCTACATCAATCTCTTCCATTTTATATCTTCGATCTTCAACATGTTGAGATTAAAATTATTTCAATATAGCTTATGACATGGAATAATTTGGTGGTAGCAAGTTGTGATGTTTCTCATCTTAATTAGAAATCAGAGTAAAAAAGACTGCATATCCCAAGAACAATAGGATGCTTCGCTTTGACGATACTGTTAGCGCAATGAGTTACGTCAGTTGCAATCATGTTCCATCATTAACAATTTTCAATTCATATCTGCCTATAAACTATAATTGCGTTACTATTACAAAACAAAGAAAAGTACTACTGCTATTATTAAAAAACTATAATATCATACTTTTGATCCTTAATTAGGTACACACAAATAATTATCTACTGCTAGCAACTATGATTTTCATTAAGAGTGCTCAAAATATAAAGAACTAAACACACAAAGAAGTCAAGAGATTCAACATCTAGATACTTTATAAAGTAACACTTCATTTTGATCTTGTATACATAGCGTAATTTTTTGACAAAAAAGGTCTGGATGAAACCCTTCCCTTACCTCCACCAATGAGTGTGAGATGGATACATGAGCTTTTTTATCTTGGTCAAGTGGGCATGCAAGGAAGGGGCAAAGTCATGATTATGCTAAGAGTATTTAAAATTTAATATAAATGAAATAAAAGTAGTAATATTTGCACAAAATAATTTTGAGGTGTTTAACTGACCATCATTTGACATACATAACCACTACTTTGATGTAGGGTAATTTTGTGTAATCCAACTAAGGATGATCTGTCCTATAGAGCTTTTAGCAAGAAAAAGGTAAAGTCATATGGTTATAGTGAGTGAGGGGTCCAAATAGTTACGTTGTCTTATGATAGTACAAATTGTTCCACATGGATGGTCTCCCTTTGTGTTTCCTCTTCATTCTGTCATCTTCCTTCATTAGGATTTGGCTCTATCATACCAATACTTGGGCAATAAACTTCTTACCACGTGCTGATGTATTCTGCAACTCCATAACACAGCAACTTTGTGGAGGGGCAATGGAAAATATAGTCCAAAACGGATACTGATCATCATAATATAAAGCAGTTCGATTAATGGACCACTAAAATACTGCAGTAGCAATAATTGGTGCTAATTAGATTGAAGAAAAAGAGTGATTATGACTTTTCTTTCTATAAAGTTATTATAACCCAAAAATGTACCGAGAAATGATATCTATGATCAAATGTTAGCAGGGAAATGATATCTATTTTAGGTATTCTTGTTAACAGAATGAAGTGGACAAAAATGGAGAAATGAACAAGGCTATAAATAACAAAGAAGATTGGGCCCCTTAACATACCACACTTACTTCTACAGTAAGGGATTAGGATATGTTCCCTAAAGCAATTCAATGTTCATCTCCACAAAAGTACTACAACAAAATAAGAGGTCAATTTCATATTTTAATGTGTAACACACATAACAGAACAGACTCTTCTAAGCACGATTATCCATCTAGATTACATTTGAAGCAATGTGTTGATGAACAAACAGATTATAGACTTCCATCAGTGCTTATCCATATGAAAGCGATAGTTGAACAACAACTATCAAGTGATTGCCATCCAAATTTCCAAGTCTATCCTTGTGGAGGCACACATCAAACTATATTTAATAAACTCATGAAATCATCAGTCATTATCCATTGAGTTTAATGGTCATCTTCCAGTAGTATTGAAAACTTTGGTGTTGATTTAACAGTTAAACTAATCTAAAGGGTACTGTAACAAGGATAAGATTAAATTCTATATACACGAGCTTCTGTTCATGCACTCTAGAAAAGTAGAGTTACATGTGTAGCATCGTACAGGTACAAGTTTTATAGTCGAAATGAACAAGAAAATAATCCAACAATTTAACAGTTCATTCACAGAAATACCATTTCGCTTCTTGAATCCGGGAGACATTAGTTTAGTTGATGGAGAAATATTGGAAACCAGAGAATCACAAGCAGGGGCGGCTTTAGTCTCAAGCTACTAGAGTAGTGGCTTTAGGTCACCAAAAATATTGTTGCCTCAATAGTTATCCTCAATCCAGACTCAACTTTATAGTTGGCAACTTAAAGCATGCATTAGTGATTCTAATTGCAGATTATATTCATTTTCCCAAGATAAATTGCATTCTTTGAGTGTTGCCTCTTAGTTACTTACTGATACGTGATTCTACAAGAAATTCATTCTAATTGCATTTACCCCTGGTTTCAGGTAGATTGCTGAGTATTCAATTTGGAACAAAGTGAATAATAAGTCTGGAAATTCATATCAAGCATTTTAAGGGTCTTAACATTCCTAGAGGAACCAAGAATTCCTCTTGCTTACATGCATAGAAGGAAAAATAAACACCTAAATTAGAATATTTAGTGTAACCTTCATTTTACAATTATCTTGAGCTACCAAGGGACCATACTGATTTCTTGATCCTCATCTTCTGCTACAAGACTTAGTTAATAAATGTGACTCCATCCACTACTACTTTGGTGTGGATTCTGCAGATAAGAAAGCAAGGGCCCCAACTAGTGGTGCATTAATGTATGTGGCAGGCTCCGATTGCTGATAATTGTTCCTGTCATCTTCAAAGTTATCTCTACTGTCAGGACCACCCACGATGGCTCCAACGAGAACGTTTGGATTAGGCGACCCCGAGTTCAAAGACTGGAAGCCATCATTGCAGCCAATGTGACCAGGATGTGCATGCACTGATGGTAGAGATGAACCTCTATGGTGCACACGAAGTGGATACTTCTGTCCAAAACCAACCATGTACGATATTTTTGCTGGATTATCTCCTAATATGTAGTCCACTTGTTTCTTTGCAAGCTCAACGAGCCTCTCTGCAGGAAATCTTGAACTCCCACATGACACTGCCCCTCCATTTGACCTCAAGTATTTGGCATAGGTTAATAGGAGAAATGATGAAGATGTCACGTATTGGAGATTACTTTCACTTCCTTTGTATAAAAGGCCCCCTGTATACATATGGCTCGGACTTTAATACGTGCATAGGCGGATCCAAAATTTAAACTAAACTCATTCTAATTTTGATATTATAGTTTCACTACTTCATATGTCCCAATTAATGTACTGACCTGGGGTATACTGAGCTTGAAAGCTAGGCGAGCCTGGAATCAAAGAGCAGATATAGTTGTCTGAGTGAACTTTGTATGCTTGGAATTCTTGAGTACTCTTCTCCAAAAAGTCCTGTGTAAAACAGGGGAAAGAAGCAGAGGAGTGAGTGAGTTTATGGCTAAAAAAGTTCAAGTTGAAAGGAGTGTAGAAGGAGGAAAAAAGGAACCTTTGATAGAATAATTTTGGTTCCAGGTCTCTTGTCATCCCAACTGAAGGAGTAGTCATCATCATTAGCACCCATAGTTTGACCATTTGATTGGATATAAGCAAGATAAGAAGAGTCTTTTGAAGCTCTATGAAGCCATGATGCTCCCCATAGAAGTTCATCCTGAATATTTTATAATGTCAAATTAACCATCGATCGATGAGATAAGTGTGTGTGTATTCACTCTAATATTAAGTAACGTTTCGTCTTACATTGTATCCAGAATAAGAGCAGTAAAATGGGCAGACCACTGAACTGAGACTGTCACTATAGGAACCTCTATACTTGTCCGCAAAAGCAAACACCTGCAATATTGCAAATGTGGGATGCATAAAAAAAATAAAACAAAAATGTATAGGGCTAAATTTGCTTAATTAATTACTCCACCTTTTGTGCAGTACGCAATAATGTAGAGGAATAAGAAGGGTCAGAATCTTTGAACACAATAGAGGCAGCAGCCAATGCAGCAGCAGTCTCAGCAGCAACATCAGAACCTGGATTTTGAGGGGACACTTTGTACACGTTGCGAGGGGTATCCATGTCCTCGGGTCTCTCCCAACACCTGTGATCTTGGTTCGGGTCTCCTACTTGAACGTATAACGTGTCGGGGCTAGCTGTGGCTGCTTTAAGAAGATAATCGGTACTCCAACGAATAGCTGCTTTTGCATTGTTAAGTTGGCTATGCATGGAGCTCCCGAATTCGATTACACTCCATGCTAGTAGAGTTGTGGTGAAGGCCATTGGCAATCCAAACTTAACATTGTCCCCTGCATCATAATATCCTCCTACTAGATCAACCTATAACAAAAACAAAAAGAGAGTTAGTCATTGTGTTGATAAAATGTACAAGTTAATTACTTGTGTCATATATACTAAAAAATAAAAAAATATGAGTTATGTATATTTGAGAATTACATGGTAACCGGAACCATCAGACAAGCCAGAATCAGCCCTCCACTTAAGGCGTTGATTCGCAGGCAATTTTCCGGACCTCTGTCCCTCAAAGAAACGAATGGATTTGTCAAGAGCATTAGAGTAATCTTGAGAAGTGAAGGCAAAGGCAAAATTATTAGAAAGATTAAGTAAGAGGAAGCATAAAATGAGCATGCTTAAAGAACCCCTAGTAGCATGAGCCATTTCTCAGCTTCACTTGTGCTTGTAAGTTTTTGATTTTTATTGGAGGGAAGAGCCTGCTTATATAGTTGGTAGTTGAAGAGTTCGTTGGTCGTTGCAGAGCTTATTAGAAAACTATTTATTTTATTTAATAATAATAATAATAATAATAAGTGGTAGAATCATAGTTTAATTCACGGGATCAACTGCGACAAATAAGACGAATTTATTGCACGAAAAGAGTTAAAAAGAGGCTCATCTTCTTTGACATAAAGTGAATAACGACAAGAAAAAGACTCTTCATATGGAGTATTACTGTTCAATCTCGTGATTAAAAAACATTGTTTCGTTCCCCTATTACACTTCAATTAGACATTATGGAATTTTGTCTCTTCTTTTTAGGTAGACTTTGAATATACTTTACTATGTTGATTGACATACCACAATTCACGGCGACGATAAAAATGTGACTTACCAACTACTATACGCCCTAAAAGTTCATCTTATAATTAGTATGGACATTAAACCACATTCACAAATCACAATGTTTTAACAACTCAACCTCCCAATCTAAACACCCTAGGGCCGTTTAGTTAGCCAGATAATTAAGGTGTGAGATTAAATCTTTTTTTACTTTTTCCGACCCCATATAAAAAAGATGAATTATAATCGATCAGGACAACATGTCCTGTCCTGCCCATCTTAAAAACTTCAATTCTACATGCTGTTAAAAGCTATCTGCAAAATCTCAGTACACCATCCTCGAATTAAAACACCTAGTTAAGCGTGATTCCTTAAGAGGAAAACGTACTCATGGGTAAGAAAAGAACCAAATTGTCAGAAAGAGTGTTGGAACGTTGTTTTGGCGTTTTAGTTTTGTAATTTTCCTGTCACGAGACTTTGTTCAACAAGACTTCCTTCCATTCACGTGGTGTGCACAGGACTTACAAGCATACATATATCACTTTGGGAAAAAATTAAATAAAATGCACAAAAGGTTTGGCTACAAAAGTTTGGCATAACCTCTACATTCATGTTATTCATGCATGTGACCAATTTTATTGCTAAAAAAATTCATTTACAAGTCTCTGAAATATTTATCTCTCTCACATGCTTTTCCTCATCTCTTGGGACCATCTTCTATACCCTCACACAAGTTTTTCTATACAATTTTGGTTTACATTTAGGTTAGCATGTGCATACTTTGATTATTTCACGTGATATCTTTACTATTAACTTATAATTTTAACTCACTTTAAGATTGACTATTTCACACTTCTAAATGAAAGTTATCCTGAGATTACAGATGTCCAGTAAGTTTTCACTAGTAGCTGTTTAGCTAATTAAAAATAATCATTAATTTTTAAGGGAGGTACAAAATTCAAAATTGTTATATTTGAATTGATCGAAAAGGTCAAAAGTGATCATCAATCATATATACAGTGGCTTTGTATTATATTTATTTAACAAGAAAGTGTTAGGCGAGAAACCATGTGGCTGATTATCTTATTTGTCAACTAAAAACCTGAATTAACAGGAAAATGTGGAGGCTCATCCACCCACTAAAACTATTTTTTTTTATTTGAAGAAGAAAATAATAATGAATCTATATGTTATTAAAATTTTATATGAAGCCCCGTGTTTCATTTAATTAAAGACAGACTATTCCTGCTTCATTTCTGCAGCTTTTTACAAATGTTGTGCCAATTTAGAGAAAGACAATATCAGAGACCAATTATAGTATACACTTGTTTCATCTTTTCCATAGTAAAATAACGTACTATCTACTAACTTTAACATACTACGTAATTTGTAAAGTAATAAACAATTAAATATTTCAATACCATAGTAAGGAGAATAAAAACATTATTAGTGGCAAGATCTTCCATTCACTCTATATATAAATTAATTTATGATGACGAAAAATCTTAACCCATCCTCGCCGATCTCATAAACAAAAGCTTAATTCATTTTCTTGAACAACCTTCCATTAGGTAGGAATTCAAGGGGACATTGATCTTTACTCTTTAGTACAAGTTTTGAGATTATTGTACACGTCCATCACACATTAATTTTTCCACCATATTTTAAGTTTTATTTTGTCTTTAAAGAAAAGTCAAAGTATCACCATAAATCCTTAAACTTTTTTCTGAAAGAAAAAAAATACTCTAATTCTCTTCCATTTTTAGTTTATTCTTTCCTTAGAAGAAAAGTTTGGAATTCTATAAATTGGAGACCCATCTTCTCATATCAAGAACACAATAAAATCAACGATGCAGTCGTTTAAAGAGTTTTGTTTATAGAGAGATTTTCTCCCAACATATTTATGTTTTTCAATATTAGTTTTATAGTAGGTAGGCCAATTGACCAGATCATATAATAAAATTATATTTTTAGTATAATTTTTTTCCATCTAATTTATTATTGTTTTGATTTGCAATTATAAACTTTCACATGATGCTCAAATCATTTTCAAAACCAACAAAATAAGGTGTACTTGTGTATATATTAACGTAGACTCCCCATATGTCTCTTCTTTAAACTTTTCACGTGTATGAATATTTTGACTCTAGAATCGTGTCAAAGAAATTGATAACAGAGCCAGAACTCAGGAAATAGATGTAGTAGAATAATATTTTAGATGTGTTATAATTTTTTATGAGAGTATGTTTGTACAGGCTGGTTTGCCCGAGAGGTTAAGGGGGAAGACTTAAGATCTTCTTTCTGCACATAGCCAACAATTCTCATTTTAGTACTAATCGTTTCTTTTTGCTGATATAACTAACCATTTTTATGACTTAAAAAGACTTTCACTTTTGTTTGGTTAAAAAACTATGGAGTGTTTCTTCAACACAACTAGGGGATGTGTAGCTCAGATGGTAGTGCGCGATCGTTACCACTAATCTTTTTTTGTTTGTTTTTTCCTTTGAGTGGAGCAAATCATTCATGGCCCCGGCTGGCTCCTTAGTGTGTCTTCAACTTAACATCTTCTTCGACCTACCCTTCCTTGTTGTTTCATTCGTTTGAGTGACTAATAAAAGGGGAAGTTAAGTTCCACTCTTTTCATTTTTAAGGAGAATCCAGTAATTAACCTTACTTCCTCGTTATGTTTTCTCATCTCCAAAAGGTGTGGTTGCGTATATGTTCCCCCACAAAAGCTCTTGGATGTTATCACCAACTATTTCAATTAAAACCTCAAGGCATGTTCAAATATGAAATCACAGTTTCCCCAATGAAACGTGGCGTGCCCTTTCTAAGTAACTCACGCCACATTGGTGTTTCCAAGAAACAGGAACAACCTAAGACTGATGACATTTATCCAATAGTGAAACAATCCATTAGAGGAATAGAAACGGGTCAGAGGAAGCATCAAATATAAGAGGTACAACTTTATCACCTCCACTTTCTGAAAAATAAAAGTGACAATGTAAAACAGTGAACTTCCAAAGGCAGCAATAATCTACCATTTAGCAAAAAAAGTTATCCAGAACCACCAACAATCATCATTGTATCCAAATAATTGTGTGCAGAAAAATTAGTCTTCAAGCTTTCATCTTATTAAGGAAGGAGAGTTCATAAACTTAAAGAGTCAATGTTGACTTTAAGTTCTCATTACCACCTCGGGAAAATGTGCCTTTTGACCCATCATATAGCAAAACAAAAGAAAAAACTCAACTTCATTTAGCAAGTCATGAAATACATCACAATGGAATCAGAACAACAACTAGAACCTATGGAATCTATTTTGATGCCTCCATTGGAAACCTCTTAAAACAATCTACTCAGTAGCTTCCACGTGTTTCGCGGCATCAGCTTCTTTCAGCCTTTCCAAAGCAGAAATGCGTCCATTTAGAGATTCATAGACATCATTCATCTGGATAAAAGAAAAGAGTGAATAGCATGCAGATAACAGAGAGATTCCAGCTGAGGTAACATGTTGAAGTTCAGATGAAGGAAAAGATGCTTGAAGAAATTGCTCTTTTAGTCCATATTGATTAATCACCAAGTTTCATTTTGGCCTGTCAAAATAGTATTGTATCTTTTCATCTTTTCAATTTCCCATATTTACAAAAGAGTTTCATGGCTTGTCATCTTTTGGCAGCAATACATAAGGCTTAACAAAGGAACATGAGAAAGAGAAAATTCTCAACTTATACTCCATCCATCCCAATTTAAGTGTCTTAGTTTGACTGCGCACAAAGTTGAAGAAATAATGGGAGAATTTTTAACCTTGTGGTCTTAAACTTGCCATGTCGAATGTTGTAATTGGTAAACTTGCTAAATATAGAAAAGAGACGCTCTTTTTGGGACAAACCAAAAAGGAAAGTAAGACACTTAAATATAGAAAAGAGGGCTTCAGCAACTATTTGCAGCAACATTTCATAGACCTATGGAACATGATGAATGATTGATTTCATAGGTATAAAGTTGATGCTAGAAAAATTATCATCTTTCTTCTATTTAGTGTTCAAGAAAACACGAGAATAATAAATAGATCATTTAATATAAATTGCAGGATTTTAAGGGTCAAGCTACAGTTTAGTTGCAACCACAAAAACTTAACCACCCTCGATGTTCACACCCAACCAATGAAATGTAAGACATATATCCATTATATAAGGATTTATAACTTAACCATGATTAAGTAATATGTATCCTCACATTTTGTATCTCTTAAAGTTAAATTGCTTAGTGTTGTGCAAGCATTAGGTTCAAATTACCATCTTTTACCATCACTTCTGCACTTATTTTGGGCATTAAACTTTCACAATGCTCTTGACCATTGAAATGATCCTTACTAGACCTACTAGGGTTAGAAATGGAGAACAAGGAGAAAAAGAGATATTCTATGAAGTTAAGAATTAGTAGTTAACTTTGGGGCAAAGGGATGTGAAATTAAGAAAACAAGAATAAAACCTCGAAAACATGTTATGAAAGTTTATCTGCAAATTAACATTAGTGATTGTAAAAGAAAGTGGCCAAAGGAATTCAATAAATGGTCACATTTGTAAAAGAAAATAAAAATAAAAATAAAATTAATATATATATCATAAAAAAGGAATCCTGTTCCTGCTCTCTTCATTCTTTCCTCTTAAGTTTTAGCTACCACTAGCTAATTTTGCATTTCCACTCTTTACCATACTAATTTGATGCTACTCCATACTGATCATGCCTGCATCATGTCATTATATACCACCATAATCCTTAAAGTATCAACTGATCTTAATTCCATAATGACTTATTCAATCTCCTTTCTGTTATTGTTGGGATCCTAACTAAAATTTGTTGTACCCCTTCTACTAAACCATCCAAAATGACTAATTTAATTTCCTGTTTGTTACTGTTAGGATCCTAACTAAAATCTGTTGTCTCCATGCTACTAAATCATCCAAGAATAAGTCTCTTCATGCATCACCAACTTTGGTACTTGCCTTGAAGCACCATTATCTCCACCCTAGGTAAAGAGCCTTAGTGCCATTGCAACTTGAACAATTGAATGAAGCCGCCAATATTAAAAAAGATAACCATTATAAGATAGTCCATATTTAAGGATGTCAAACATATCAACAGTAATAGTCTTGCTGTGACAGCCATGGTGATTGATTTATCTAACATTCTGACTTAGAAATGAAAACTACATTTTGGAGCAAGTTATAGATAATTTGCTAACATTACCACTAAAAAGGGCACTGGTTCACCAATTACACATAGATTACTCTAGCTAGAATTTGAAGAACATATTCCATTTGGGACCAATATGCTCCAGGCCACTAGCTATCTTACATCAAGCTACAACTAAATACAGAACCCGTAACTGTTGCCAACAACGGAGAGGCAAAGCAGAAAGCACTTGAAAGCTTAATATATTGACTGGCAATTCTTCCAACAGTTACATTATATCCTAATTTCTCTCACTAGATTAAACAGAAGAGTAATTTCCATCAAGCCCAGGGATTCTGTTCAGCAACACTCAGGTAATGTAGAAAATTTGAACCTAATTACTTTGTCAAAAGAAAAATTACAAATATGCAATTTAAGTAGAGAAGGGTAAAGGTAAAAGGGCAGCCCATAGCACAATTTGAAGTCCCCAAAACAAGAAAAAAAATACTATTTCAATCGATTGAGTCCACCTTAATCCCAAACTAGTTGAAATTCAGAAAGTGGATGGAAGATTAAAAGGAACCTGTTGAGACATGGAATGATGGGCGGTTTGGTAATCCTTGTGGAGAAGGTAGAGACCGCCGGCCGATGCCACCGCAGCACCGGCGAAGAAGGCTGCAAATCTCACCCTTAGAACGTATCCCATTTTTCTGAATCTGCACCTCTTTACGATTTTGGTATTTAGGGAAAGTGAAACGATTTTCGTCTTTGCCGTCTCCACTTATACTTTCTTTTTCATAAATAAACAGATTAAGTGCCAAATTTGTTTATTGCATATAATACAAAATTAAAAAAAAGAAAGAAAAGATAATACAAAAGTAGAGGTACATATAGTGCATTGACTTTTATTTTTTTTTACTCAAATTAATAAGGAGGGGGAGGAAGAAATTACTACTCAGAATATTATATAACTTAAAGTTTATAGATATCAATAATGTAAAAAGAAAATCACAGGACGGTTTAATGATTTTTAGTCAACGGCTGATGTAGTTTGTCGTGTAAAATTAATTTGAAGAGTACTTCAAATAGAATGCCAATATTAAATTGGGAAAATTGTGCATAATGTCAAATTATTAATTGAAAATAAATAATATAGCTACTGTTTCATTTATTTCCTTTGAGTAGCTATAGTTTCGTATATCTTGCTACTGACAGATTCCACAAATTAAGAAAAACAGAAGTCTTTTCCTTTATACAATTCACTTCATCTCTTTTCTCTCTCCCATACACTTCAATTTCTCCTAAATTCTTTCCACAAAATCAATTTGAATTTCAAATCTTCACTACTACGCTCTCAATCACGATTTCAAAAATTTCAGGTACCGTCAAAACCTCTAAATCAATTATTATTTTTCCAATTTTTTCCTTATTTCTTTAACTTTCATATGAAATCATAATCCATACAGATTTTTCACTTATACAATGGATGAACATTTTTCTTGGGTTTAACTCAGAATTTTGGAGAGGTTGCAGGTTCAATAGCCAAATCCAAATAAATTAAAGACATCACATCCAAATTTAAGAATTACCCAATCAGATTGGGTGAAATTAGTGCAAAATCGAAGCAATCTGAAATTGTTGAGGGAGGTGACAAAGATCAGTACGATGCTAGTTCAAGTAAGAAGAGGAAAGGAAAAGCAATTGTATATTAGCCATTAGGTTAATATACAAACTTATTGTATAAAGCAAGATGAACATGAAGAAGTTCAGGTATTTGTATAATCATTAATTTGTATATGTTACGATTGTATATTAGTCTTATATTTTCTCTATAAATTTTTGCCCTATATCTGTTTGTTTATACAGATATGTGCATCCATTAGGTTTAATATACAAACTTATTGTATAAATAGTAGTAGTTATTATAACAATTTTACCATATATACAATATTAACAATTATACAATTGAACTGTTTTGTATAATATATAATATCCATATAAAACATGTTTATGTTATATTAAGATAAAGTTAGTGTTATACAAAATGACTATATGTACTTTTTTATATGTTTATTTACACAGATCTGTATTTTTTTAGCCATTAGGTTTAATATACAACCTTTCTCTATTAATAGAAGTACAATAATCTCACTAAATATACAATATAAACGATTATACAATTTAAATGTGTTGTATAATGTATAATCTTATTTATAAAACTTGTATAGGATAAATTGAATTAAATCTTATTTTATACAATTCGCTAATTGTATTTGTGTCATATTTATACACAATAAGTCATAGTTATGTATATATGTATATTTGAGTAAATTTCTAGGCAAACTTGTACACAATTATAATGAAGTCACTACTGATGAAGAAGTCGTAGAAGGAAAGAGATCTTTTTGCGTGAGTTTAGCGATTGCCTTCCTTTTTTGTAACAGAATTTATAACCTTTTATTAAATTTATTTAGAAAATAAAATTGTATATAGCTTCAAATGAATCCTGAAATATATAGATTAATAGCCCCACAACAAACACAAAATTTGCTATGGAGCGCAATTATACACACTCTAGTTATAAGATATAAATATGATTTTTATGTTTGCTATATGTGAAAGTTGCTCTATTAAATTTCACTTCTTTCTCACAATTTTTTTTTTTCTAAACAGAATTGTTTGTTGAAGTATAATGATTTTGCTACTCTTAAGAAATATTAATACTTGGGCTTTAATATCTTGGATTTGGACAAGTAAAGGCCCACTTGAGGAGGTCTTTCCAATCCAATAAAGAGCCCAGTTTGTCCAAGTCACAGACAAGGGAAAATTATTTATAGGAAAATTGTATAAAATTGCAACTATTAATTCAAATTAAATGCTCTAATAATAGTTTCATTCAATTTTAATTTGTAGCAAAATGTTTGCCAGTCACCTCTCTTCCAGCGAATCTCGCTCGCCTCGCCTCTCTCACTTTATACAAACACAAATGTATAAATTGCGTTTCTGTTTGTATAAAGCGAGAGAAAATTGTATATTCAAATACATATATTTTTGTCTTATCTATATTATATATATATTACCTTAAAAGCATGAACTCCTAACTTGAATGTTAAATTACTATAACATCCCTAACTTAGGTTGTGACTTTTTCGATGAGTTGTGACTTTTTTTCAAAGGGTTGTGATTTTTCGATGAGTTGTGACTTTTTCAAAGAGTTGCGACTTTTCCAAAGAGTTGAGACTTTTTCAAAAAATTGTGACTTTTTCGATAAGTGGTGACTTTTCGAAAGGGTTGTGACTTCTCGGAAAGGTCATGACTTTTCAGATAAGACACAAAAAACACTTGTTCATACTACCATTTGTTGACTATAAATAGAAGGGTTTCATCTCATTTTGAACCACAATTATTTTAAAATCTTCTACTCTTCTTCTTCTTGCATTTTAAAAAATTTCGTGTGATTTATTGTCGTTGAGTGAGTTCGAAGTTTAGCGGAATATGAGGTACCACTATTCTGATGAAGTGAATTGTTCTATCCTAAGAGATAAATTCCTTAACCTCGAGTACTTGAGGAAAATAATTGTGATGATATAATAATTATTTTTCTGCTTAGTATATACATTAGTATGTAATGTTTCAATATATGAAGTTAACATGATGTAGTCTAAATTCATTTGTTTTTGGTAACAATTTCTCTTGTGATGTAGATATATGCTTATGGGAATATCTTTTTAAAAAATTATTAAAATTATCAAGAGATAGAGAATAATCACGATTACAAAATAATGAGTTTATTTATCAATGCTACTTATATGATTTAGATTGTCAGGAAGTTTGCTTCAAAATAGCTATTACTATATAAAAATTGCCATTTTGTTTTACTGATTTACTATTTCTTAATATTTAAGTACTTTTGATGAAGAAAAGTTTATATGACTTGTAATAACACCAGTTAAAGTTTCTATTAGTTTAATTTTTATTGTAGTCTAAATTCATTTGTTTTTGTCAACAATTTCTCTTATGATGTAGATATATGCTTCTGGATATCTTTTTTCCAAAAATTTTAAAGTTCTCAAGAGTTAGTGAATTGTCACGATTTGCTTTTTAGATGCCCAAGACAAAAGAGTTACTTTATTTATTAATGTTACTTATGCGATTTAGATTGTCAGGAAGTTTGCTTCATAAAATAGTTATTACTATATAAACATTGCCCTTTTGTTTTACTGATTTACTATTTCTTAATATTTCAATATTTTCGACGAAGAAATGTTCATATGACTTGTAATAATGCCAGTAGAAGTTTGTATTAGTTTAATTTTTATTGTAGTCTAAATTCATTTAATTTTGTTAACAATTTCTCTTGTTGTATAAATATATGTTTCTGAATATCTTATTCCAAAATTATTAAACTTCTCAAGAGTTAGAAAATTATCACGATTTATTATTTTGATGCTCAAGACAAAAGAATTACTTTATTTATCAATGCTACTTATATGATTTAGATTCTCAGGAAGTTTTCTTTAAAATAGTTATTACTATGTAAACATTGCCCTTTTGTTTTAATAATTTACTATTTCTTAATATTTCAGTATTTTCGACGAAGAAAAGTTCATATGTTTTCTAATAACGTCTGTTGAAGTGTGTATTAGTTTAATCTTTATTATTTATTAATAACTAATTTTTATGAGATATATATTTTCATTAATGCATATATATATATATATATATATATATATATATATATATATATATATATATATTGGGTAGGTATTTATATATGTCACAAATGTATTATCAAGTTAACAAGATCTTCTAACTTCAAAATATATTATTTTAAAATTTTGTGAATATATATGAATCATTTAAAATTTATCATTAACAAAATAAATTTTAAATCATTAATATGGAATAAACATTTTCATTTTGTCCCTACACCCTATTTATTTATGTAAGTATAAAGTTTATTAGAAATTCATCTATTGTACATTAATTCTTTAGTTATAACATTATAAATTCTCTTAGTTATTACTAATTATTGCCAATATTATTCACACTCTTTTACGTTCTTTAGCTATAATATTATGAATTCTCGTAGTTATTACATTAATTATTTCTATTTTTTCATCTTTCATTATATTAACTTTTGACCAATAATTTTTCATATTATTATATTGCCCCTATATATGTGATAACACGGTGTTGTCATTTTCCCTTGGACGAATCATGCTTGCATTGGTTGAATAAATTGAAAATTGTTTACAAGTATATGAACTATATCTTTGTTGGGTGTAAGATAAATAAGTGATTATATATATGATTTCACAGATAGAATATATTCTTTAATTTTAATTTTTAGTTTTTTTCAGTTTAAAATAAAAAAGAAACATTTCTCAGTTAACTATGGACAATTATATAAATATCTTTGATTTATGTACATAGACAATTGAGAAGTCAAATATGAGAGCCAACAAAACGAACGTCATCTATTATGTTATAACTTTTAAAATAATTAATATACAAAAATAGTTCTAAAAAATAAAATGTAGTTGTTCTCCACATGATCATATGACATCTAAACAAATTAAGTGGAATACACGTCAAAGCACATCTGGTTAGATGACAAGAAAAATACACAACAAATATCGTCTATAAGGTAATATTAGTGTGATATGACTAATTACATGATTGAACGTCATCAAATTGAAATAAATATATACATTATTGCATTTAACTAATAAAATTTTTCATTGACTATC